TCCTCTTGCATATCTGCTTTCCAGGCATTTAATTTATCCAATGTTGATTCATTACTATGTTTGACCATAAAATTGTAATATATAGAAACATATATCTAAATTTTGGATAGTTATTTCCTCCAATTTTGATAAAGATGGTATACAACTAATCTGTGTTTCTTTTGATGACATGTAACTCTTTAACTGTAGGTATTTAAAGAAATGTTTTTTAGGAACCACATATTTTTTACATAAAAGCTCAAAGGAAAGTAAAATCCCATCTTCATACAAATCTCTTATACTTTGGATGCCTCTTGTATTCCACAACTTGAAACCTCCATCTTTATTACCAGGAATAAATTGTTTATTACCCCAGATAGGAGTGAACTGTGACAATTTGGGTACATTATCTATATATTTATGAGAGGAATGCCAAATTAAAATTGTATTTTTTAGAAATGGATTTTTGGTATTTTTTTTTAGTGACTTAATATCTGATGAATATAAATACATTTTTAATGGTAAATCTGGGGTGGAGGTTTGTTCAATATCTACCCATGCTGGGGGCGTTGTTGTGTAGAAATAATATACTGCTGTGGTCAGCTGGGCAGCCATGTAATACCATCTGAAATTTGGGAATTGCAGACCTCCCCTTTCATAGGGTAAATGTAATAGCTTGAGGCGAAGTCTGGCTTTTCTGTCATTCCAAATGAACTGGGCAAGCAGTTTATTTAGTTTATCATAAAATGTATTTGGTAACGGTAGTGGGAGTGTTTGAAAATAATATAAAAATTTAGGTAAAATAGACATTTTTATTATATTAATTCGTCCAATCATAGATATTGGTAAATTTGACCATTTTTGTAATACTTTAGTGGTTCTGTCCATAAGGGGATCATAGTTTGTTGATACAATTTTATTAAGGTCGGGGATAATTTTAACACCTAAATAACTAAAACCATCAGTAGTTACTCTAAATGGAGTCTTTATTATGGGCTTATGTCTTTCTTCTTCATTTAGAAATAATAATACTGACTTTGAGTTGTTAATTTTATATCCAGAAACAAGTCCAAAATTTTCAATTAGTTTCATAATTTTAGGAATAGTATTTAACAAATCTGTCATAAATAGTATTATGTCATCTGCAAATAAAGAAATGCGGTGATCTTTCCTCCCAATTGTAATACCTGATATCTCTGGATTTGTTCTTACTGACATAGCTAAAGGCTCAACTGCCAGTACAAATAACAGTGGGGACAAGGGGCATCCTTGACGGGTAGATCGCTGCAAATTAAAAGGTTTTGAAATTATATTATTGGTTAGTATTTCAACAGTTGGGTTTGTATACAAAAGCCGAATCCATTTAAGAAACGTTTCACCAAGTCCAAATCTTGGGAGCACTTCAAAAAGATAGTCCCATTCTATCCGGTCAAATGCTTGGCATGCATCTATTAATAGCATTGCTGTATTTTTCTCATTATGTTTCTCATATAATATATTCAAGACCCTTCTGATATTATGGTATCCCTGTCTTTTTTGTATAAAACCTTGTTGATCATCAGCAATTAACTGAGGGAGGTACTGGTCTAGTCTTCTAGAAAGTATTTTGCAAAGTATCTTTATATCGCATCCCATTAAGCTAATTGGTCTGTAAGACGAGCATTCAGTTGGGGGTTTATTAGGTTTTAATATTAAAGTTATTATTGCTAATCTTAATGAGTCGGGAAGCATTCCTACTTTAAATGATTCTTCATACATATCTAATAATGGCCTTAAAAGTTGTTTTTTAAATGTTTTATAGAATTCAATAGGAAGACCGTCCGGTCCTGGTGCTTTGCCACTATTCATATCACCAATAGCTTCACTAAGATCTTCTACAGTTAATGGACTATCTAGTGTTGTCTTTTCATCCTCTGATAAGGTCCTGAATTGTAACTGATCCAGAAATATTTTTTTCATATTAATATTTTTATTACTTTCAGATTTATATAGAGTTTGGTAAAAATCACTAAACCGTTCATTAATCTCTTTTGAATCTAAAGTTAAATTTCCAGATTTTGATTTTATACTTTTAATTGTCCTTTCAGATTGCATTTTCTTTATCCTCCATGCTAATAATTTACCAGCTTTTTCCCCTTGATCGTAATACATTTGTTTGGTCCATAAAAGAGTTTTTGCCACTTTTTCAATTGCTAGCTTATCATAATTGGCTCTCATAATAGCTAAATTATGTAATTTGTCAGGGTTATTATCAATACTAATTTCAATTTCATATTTTTTAATTTGGTCTTCTAGTAATTTCAATTCTTGATTTTTTTGTTTCGTTTTGGCGCTTGTGTAACTTATAATTTCTCCCCTTATATAGGCCTTGAAAGCTTCCCATCTAATATTAGCCGTAGTTTCATTTGTGTTTAATTCAAAATATTGATCAATACTCTTTTCTACAAATGTAATAAAATCTGGGTCTTTTAACAAGTAGGTTTGTAACCTCCATCTAGGATGACGATCGACCGTACCTAAATGAATTTCCAAAGACACTGCTGCATGATCACTAATTACTATGCTGTTATACCAGCATTTCTTTATGTTTGGCAAAAGTTCCATTGAAATAAGAAAATAATCGATCCTTGAATGGGTTTTATATGTACTTGAGTAGCAAGAATATTCTTTTTTACTTGGGTTTAATCTTCTCCATATTTCAATTAAGCTTAAATCTTTCATATAACCAATTACCATTTTCCTATTTTGAATATGAGTTGTATCAATTTGAGTGGACCTATCCAATTTTGGATCGAGTGTACAATTAAAATCTCCTCCAATTATATTGAATCCCTCTAATGTAGACACAGTCAAAAAGACTTTCTCAAAAAAGGGAGTATTATCATTGGGACCATAAATATTTATTAAGTTTATTTTTTGTTTTAAAATATTTCCTTGAACAATAATATATCTTCCCGAAGGGTCTTGAATAGTTTTTGTTACTTGTAATGATAGAGACCTATGAATAAGAATAGCTACACCCCTTGCATGTGAGTTAAAGGTTGCATGAAATACTTGGCCTGGCCATCTTCTACCCAAGCTATGGATATCGGACGCAGTTAAATGTGTCTCCTGCAAAAAAACTATTTTAGATTTGAGATAAATTAATCTATTCAGCACTAATTTTAGTTTTATCAATTTTCTTATCCCCCGGACATTCCAACTTGTAATTATAATATTTTTTAAGGTACTACTTTGTTTTGTTTTATCCATAGGTTATAGTCCCAGTATATGGAGAAAGAAAAGAAAAGAAAAAGATAAAATAAAATAAAAAGAAGATAAAATAATAAATGGGAAAGGAAAAAATAAAATAAAAAAATAAATAAATAAAAAAAAACTGTTGATGTGAGTGCAAACGGTTCCCTCCCCCCTTACATTTTTTAACTCTGGCATTTTCAACAAAAATGCCTAACCCTCCCCTTGATTGGAAACGCTGGGGACGCTGATCCACAGTCTTCGAGGAGCAACTAGTCTGCGTAGCCCAGCCCATGACCTTCAACCGTGCAAAATCATCTTACTTTTTGCACGTATAACCAAACATAATAGTGTATTTTAAACATATAGAACATATAGAACAATACCCTTTGAATATTAAACCAACGATAATACCCAATACAATCCTATTAGGTTAACTTATAAACCAAAGTGACATAAATTACCTTTACAAATTATAACGTTATTAACTTAAACAACAACTTTTATTTCAAGAGTTCACACTTAGCTCATGATTTATACATAGCTTGTTTGGCATGCTGTCCCGGGAGAGAGCCCTGAGCTCAAGGGATCCTCGAGCCCAGGGCTCCCCCCCTTTTGCAGGGCGAGTGGAGATTGAGCTCAGGTCTATCTCAAACTCCCCCGCTGCTGAGGCCAAGGCGAACTTCCTGAGAGTAAGACATTATAAAAAAGGTTTAGGCTTGTTTTATCTGTAATATAGAGCACATTTGGATGGTGGGAGGAAACCGGGGAACCCGGGGGAAACCCACGCGGACACGGGGAGAACATGCAAACTCCACACAGAAATACCAGATGGCTCAGCGAGGACCCAACACCATTGGTATTCTTGCTGTGAGGCAACAGTGCTAGTCACTGGGCCACCGTGCCGCCCATTCTGGATAAAGGAGTAAGAAGGGGAGGAGGGGGGTTCTTCCAGACGAAGATAGTTGTAGAAAGGAAATGAGGATATATATATAGTGGTTTGGGATCCTTTGATTGGAGGATCATAATTAGTTAATGTGGACCAGCTGGGTAAATCATGAGCACATGCTCCTCTCGAAATTAGTTTAAAACTAAACTTCACTTCAAGAGTTCACACTTAGCTCATGATTTATACATAGCTTGTTTGGCATGCTGTCCCGGGAGAGAGCCCTGAGCTCAAGGGATCCTCGAGCCCAGGGCTCCCCCCCTTTTGCAGGGCGAGTGGAGATTGAGCTCAGGTCTATCTCAAACTCCCCAAAAAGCCAATGATAAGCGCTCGGGACAGCAGCCGCGTGTTTACACAGGAACTCCCCAAAGTGCAAAGAAAAAGTGCTATATCCGGCTGCTGGATATATATGTGAAGAACTGATAAAAAGTGGGGGAAAAGCTTTCTAGGGAGTGTGTGAAGGGCAGGGTGGGTTTGGTGGCTAAGAAATAAAGTTAGGAAGTCTGAGGGAGTCTGAGTGGCTTAGAGGGTGGGTGGAGAATCGTGTGTAAATTGGGGCTTAAATGGGCCCTCTACGGGAGTCAGTGCTTAAGAGAAGGTTTGTGAGATGTAATAATGAAGGGTGTGGAGCTGGCTGTTTAAGAGGAGGGAAGAGATTTGGTAGCGGAAGCATAAAAAGCTGTTGGGGGTAAACAAAAGGAGAGAAGCTGGAGGAAACAATGCTATATAAATTACTGTATGGAATATACGACTGCTATGCAGCAGAAGCACTCAATGTTGGCATGTTGCTAGAAACTGGCAGGGAGATAGAGAGGGGAAGGAAGCTGGTATTAACACAGATTTAATATATTAACAATAAAATAAAAACATGAAACATTAGGGAAATACTATGCGTAATAAAATGCAGTAAGCAGCAGAAGCACTTAGCGCTGGCAGAAGAAAAACAGCTGTAATTAACAAAAATATGCTATACAATTACTATGCATAATATGCAAAATAATCAATAAGAAAGATACTAATGCAGCGGGAGCCCACAACGCTGGTAAGGGGAGAGAAAAAAGGGGGTGCTGTTGAAGTAACAAGGTTACTATGCAAAATACAGAACATGAAATGCTAATGAACTACTATGCAGAATAAATATGTTAATGCCGATACTGGTGAATAACTATAAAGAATAAATAAATTGATGCAGCGGAAGCACTCGACACTTGGCAGGGGAAACTGGAAGGTGAAGGCGATAGGTAAGGCTCTTGCGAGAGCCGAAACTCCTATTGACTCCGGCGGGAGTCAGAGCTTAGGGTGATGTTAATGTGGAGGAAGGAGGTTGGATGGGAGTCAAAAAACATGAGTAAACAGCTGGTAGAAAACAGTAAGGCACTCAATTCTGGCAAGTGGAAAGGGGAGAGCTGCTGGGAGTAATATGATTATTATCCAGAAATACACAATATAATACATGAAATACAAATGGACTACTGTGCAGAATGAACACAATGTAGACATTTATCAATAACTATATGGAAAACAAATAAACTGGTGCAGCAGAAGCACTCCACACTGGAATGGGAAAAGAAATGGGCAAGGTGGCTGGAAGTAACAGATATACTCAACAATTTTTATGCAAATGATACAATACAAGATATAACAATAAACCATTATGCAAAATAAATTAATTGGAGCTGCAAAGGTGCTTGATGCTGCAGGGCAGGAAAAAGGGGGGAGAGCAGCTGTAAGAAACACAAATATCCAACACAAGTACTATACAGAATATACAAATTATGCAATAAGATACTAAGGCAGAGGGAGCATACAACGCTGACAGGGGGGAAAGAAAAAGGGGAGAGCTGTTGGAGGTAACGAGATTACTATGCAAAATACAGAATATGATAACATGTAATGCTAATGAACTACTATACAGATTAAACAAAATGTAGATACTGATGAATGACAATACAGAATAAATAAATTGATGCAGCATAAGCACTCATTTCTGGCAGTGGAAACAGGAAGGTGAGGGTGATAGGGGAGGCTCTTGCGAGAGCCGAAGCTCGTGTTGACCCCTGTGGGGGTCTGAGCTTAGGGTGATGCTAAGATGGAGCAAAGAGGTTAGTTGAGAGTCAAGGCAAGGAGTTAAGAGATTGGAGGGAACAGCAGAAGCGCTTATCGCTGGCAGGGCATACAGAAAGGAGAGGTTGATAGGTGAGGTTCTTAAGAGAGCCACAGCTTGCATTGACCCCTGTGGGAGTCTGAGCTTAGGGTGATGCAGATATAGCAAGGAGGTTATGAGAGGGCCAAAGGCAAGGGGTGAAGAGCTAGGAGGAAACAGCGGAAGTACTCAATGCTGGCAGGGATAACAGAAAAGAGAGGGTGAAAGGGGAGGCTCTTGGGAGAGCCGAAACTTGTGTTGACCCCTACAGGAGTCTGAGCTTGAAGCAGATTGAGCAAGGTGGTAACAAGAGAGCCAAAGGCGAGGGGTAAAGAGCTAGGAGGGAACAGTGGAAGCACTCAACACTGGCAGGAGGAACAGAAAGGAGAGGGTGAAAGGTGAGGCTCTTGCGAGAGCCGAAGCTCGTGTTGACCCTTGCGAGAGTCTGAGCTTGAGTGATGCAGATGGAGCAAGGGGGTTACCAGAGAGCCAAAGGCAAGGGGTAAAGAGCTAGGAGGGAACAGCGGAATTACTCAACGCTGGCAGGGGAAACAGAAAGGAGAGGGTGATAGGGTAGGCTCTTGTCAGAGCCAAAGCTCATGTTGACCCCTGCGAAATCTGAGCTTAGGGTGATGCTGATGTAGCAAGGAGATTACATGAGAGTCAAAGGCAGGGAGTAAAGAACTAGGAGGAAACAGCAGAGGAACTCAATGCTGGCAGGGGGAACAGAAAGAGGGTCATGTTAAGCTCTGCGAGAGCTGAAGCTCATATTTACTCCAGCGGGAGTCTGAGCCGTGAGGGGGTTTGCTAGGGATGGACAGATAGATGGCTTTGGCTTGAGAATAAAGGGGTGGCCAAGATTGGGCTGAGAGGTTTGAAAGAAACAACTTGGGTTCTTTGAGATGAAAAGACTGAGGCGAATGTAGGATTTGAAAGGCTTCAGAGAACCAATGACCAAGGGTCTGGATCAGGTGCTGGGAAAGCCTTTTAATAATGCCAATTCTGAATGAATGGCTGGGGATTGGTTCAGGAGGAAATCCTGAGAGGTGGACAACTTTGAAGTGTTTCTGGAACCAGAGATGTGATACTGGACGATTAGCGTCATCAGTAAAAAGGGGGGCTAGGGGGTTTGTTTCTTATAATCCTCGAGTGTAGGTATACTAGAGAGTTTGGACTGGTTGGGTGAGGGCAGGAATGTTGAAGATGTAAATGAAATGTTCTTTGTCAATAGATCTATCTTACTTTGCAGGACGAGGAAACCTTTTCTTTCCTCATCACACAAAATTAGATCTGCTATGGTGGGTTGGAGTGAGGGTTGAGTTTAAATGTTTCATGCTGTGATGTGTGACTGAAGGGTCTGAGGGCTACTACTTTAATGGTAAGTGATATGGAGTTTGGTGGAGGTTATAATGGGGGTGGCTTAAGGTAATGTCATTTGTGGAAAGGGATGGACAGGCGTTGAGTTGGGGTCCACTTCTGTAGCCAGTGACCAAAGTTTCTGGAAAGAAAAATGAGAGAGAGTCAGTGATTTGGTTTTGCAACCTGGCACGTATTATGCAGACATGATAAACTGACTAATGTCAAATAAGACATCTTAAAAGTAGCATTAAAGCTTAGAGAGTAGGAACGCCTTTGTCTATGCCTTATATGGTTTCTTCCTCAACACAATAAATGAGAATCCTAGAGGTGGACCATTCGTCTCCCCATAGTATGGCGGCAGCGACTTTTGGGTACAGTTTGAAGAAAGCTGATGAACAATGGTTTCTAGAGTGGAAATAGATTGAGGGAGCCATGTGGTGGCAACCAGTGGCCTCTGAGTACCCTTGGAACCCAACTGATGGGGTAGCACAAGTAAATAGACAAATATCTAATGGGGGTGCGAACAATCTCTGCAGAAGAAGGAACAGCCGTTCCATAGCTTAAGGAAGCAATCCATAAGCGGAGTTCATTGTGGGTGGGTTTTGAGAGAGAAATTGTGCCTTTTAAATCATGACTTGTGGTAGGGAGCTGGAGTAGGCAAGTTTGAGGTAAATTTGCACTGTGAATTTTAGGTGGCCGAGGATAGATAACAGTATGTGTTTAATTCAAGTCTCTTTCTTATAATACAAGAGAAAGAGAAATTATTCAGCCAATTTTCTCTTTAGGAAGAGAAGCTTGGAATTTGAGCAAATCGAAGTTGATGCCTAGAAATTCGATAAATGTATTGGGTCCAACCTTCTGCGAGCAGAATACCTAGATTGGCGAAAACCTTTTGGTGATCTCTAGGTGTTTGGCTGGAGGCAATGGGAGGGGGGTGATTAGAATATCATCTAAAGTTGGATAAGGTGGGGGATTCTGCGATTGTTAGAAAGAAGCCAGTGATGGACAATTTGCGAGTTGCACTGCTTATGGGACAAATGCGTGAAACCTTGAGTGGTGGGGCAGAGAATGGTCAAACATAAAGTGGTTGTCGATTTCTTTTTTAAATAAGATGATCCACAATTTCTGGTTCAATCAGCAAAAGCTGACTGAATATTAGGATAGGAAGGGAGAGCTGAGGTGCCCGGGTGGAATCCATAGGTTAGACCTGAAATGAGAAAATCAGAAAAATTAGTGGTGAGAACGCAGTTCTCTAGCGAGGTGAGGAATCGACAGACAGATAGTGTTTTAAATGTTTTGGTAGACGCTCATTCCCCTCCAGGATAGTGAGGGCCAAGGATATTGAGCATGGCTTGGCTGGTGATCTTAAAAATACTTCTTTAAAGTGGAGTAGTTGAAGTGATAAGTTTAAATTCCTGTGACATATTACGATCGGACTTCTATGATCGATGTGATGCTTATTGTCATTAGGTGGGTAATTTTATTTTAGAAGTTAAATAGCTATTGGAAGTGGCGGGTTTGTTTATTTATATGCATGTTTATTTATTTATTTATGTTAGTTATTTGTTTAATTAATTTATTTATTTAACTTCTAAAATGATGTTGTCATTTAATTTGCACTTAAACAATACTTATTAAACTGTGTCAATTAAAAGTTTACTATGGGCTTTACTTTAATCTGATTGATTAAATAACATTACATTTGGAATCTTAACATGAATGAAATCAGAAGCATAATTGGCCCAATTCATTCACAAAGTCTTTGCAACCAAGTCTGTTCATAACTATCGTAAGAGAGGGCGGGACCATCTCATGTTCTGACAGCTTGGATGGTGACACTTCTCTTTAGCTATTGGCTCAATGAAGTGTCAATCAAAAGGTCGGCAGCCATTTTGTTAGACCATAATACAAGTGTTTTTGTCTGAAAGATACTACTTTACTGAAAGCACTCCAGCAACAAGTTTGGATGACAGCAGTGTATCCATGTATGTTTATAAACATGTAAACATGTTGTGGACTAAAGTTTTATGGATTGGATTGCTTTGATCCTTGCAGTCAAATCAGCCAGGCTGTTAAAATGTTATGGACCTGTGAACAGTCAGCAAGCTTGAAAGGTGGGTTTATTTGGTTTGTTATAATCTCTGCTTGTTTACAGATTATATGAGGACGTTAAGTCCATAGTGTTTGTGTCTTTAAAATGGTTTAAATTATTTTTTATTTATGAGTCTTGCTTTTCTAAAGACATAAGAAATGTTTAGTCTTGTTGGAGAGTAGTTTCTCCTTAAAGAGGGAAGTTTCCCCTTAAAGCATACTACGTTACCACAGGTGCACCGCGAAGAGCGGTGAGAGTTTGGCTTCATTGCAGTGGCTGAAGTCTCAGGGAGAGCAGGGCTCTGGTTGCAGTTGTAGATATTGTTGGTTATTTCCATATTGATGGGCTAAAAAGTGCAATGCTGTAAAAGCTTTTAGAGCTAAAGCTTTTTAGAAGCAGGAAGCTTTCTTCCAGACGAAGATAGTTGTAGAAAGGAAATGAGGATATATATAGTGGTTTGGGATCCTTTGATTGGAGGATCATAATTAGTTAATGTGGACCAGCTGGGTAAATCATGAGCACATGCTCCTCTCGAAATTAGTTTAAAACTAAACTTCACAACATTATATTTTAAACACAACCCTACTGTAACATCTACGTCGATCGTCCACCGTTGACCACGACTGGTGGAATATTTCTGCAAAGTTTTTGATTAGTCCAGCAGGTAGTCAACAGTAAACCATCCCTTATATTTGCTGCGGGATGCTTTTATAGAATTTCTCGGCTTCTTGCGGCTTCGAAAAGAGATGAATCTTGCCATCATGCAACACTCTCACCTTGCAAGGATTATGTTGAAACCCTCGGAAAGCGTTGATATCCACAAATAGCTTTGTGACTGGGTTGAATCCCCGTCGGATGCGCACCGTCTCCGCCGAAAGATCCTGTGAGAAATAGATCTTTGCCCCATCGTGAGTGATGACTCGCTTCCTGGATTCACGGTAGACGAATTCCTTCTCTTGAAACTTTAAAAAGCGGATGAGGATTGCTCTGTTTTTGTTGGACTTTTCAGGTGCTAGCGTGCGGTGAACCCGTTCCAAAGTAAACGTCTTGTCAGGATCCATGTCGAGCCACTGTGGTAGCTTGGCACTTACAAACTCAAAAAGAGACTTTTGGCCTTCGGCACCTTCCCGAATTCCATTAAGCCGAAGGTTTTTCCTTCTGCCTCGATTTTCCAGGTCGTCTGTCTTTGATTCAAGATAAGTTATGCGTTTCATAGCCGAATCGAGGGCAGCCTCTGCTTTCTCAAGTGCCTTTTCCGTATCGTGAATGCGTCCTTCGGCTTCTTCGACACGAGCGGCGTTGGAAGAAACATCGCGTTTCATCTCGGACACTTTACTTTCCAGCGCTGACATTGAGCTAGCCATATCGATCAATCGACTGTCAATGTTGTCCAGCTTGGTTCCGATATCTGCTCTGAGCGATTTCAGTTCACTTAAAACTTCTGTTAAGTTATCCATGTGTGTGGCGTTATCTTCCACTTCACTTGATCCACTCGTCGAAGTTTTAACGGTGGCCTTACGTCCTCGGGTAAAAATGTCACATTGTTTGGTCACGGAAGGTTTTGACATATCAGCGCCGATGTTATTTTCTAAGTTTGATGTTTTTTTTGAGGGTATTTAATTTAGATTTTGCACGGTTTGTCGGAGCTCTCAAATCAAGCTGCCATCTTAGTCCTGGCCACGTGACCCCCCTCCACCAGTAGCACACATAACTCTTTGAACACAGAATCAATTCGCTAGCACAGAACGAGGGAGAGTAGGAGACTAAATAGTCACAATAATCAGGGGGAACAGGTGAGAGGAATGGGGACGGGAAAACAAGCAAATTGATAACAGGTGAAACAGCACACAAATGATAATACACAAGAGGGAGACAAAGTAGTCACAAAAAACCCTGACACAACTGTGGTAGGTCTCATCAACAAAAACGATTAGAAAAACTACAGAAGCAAGGTGAGCCATCTGGCCGAGTGGTGCAGAGACAACAATCTCTTGTTAAATGTGGAAAAGACAAAGGAGATAGTTATTGACTTCAAGAAAGTGCACACTCTGCATGCTTCAATGACCATTAACAGTGCGTCTGTGGAGCATGTGAGCAGCACTAAGTTCCTGGGTGTACAAATTTCTGAGGATCTCTCCTGGACAAAAAATCACAGCTACTTCCTCCACAAACTTAAAAGAGCAAGAGCACCAGCCTCAATCATGCAGACCTTCTACAGAGGCACAATTGAGAGCATCCTGACCAGCTGCATCACTGTGTGGTTTGGAGCCTGCAATGCATCCTGCAGGAAAACTCTTCAGCGCATAGTGAGAACAGCTGAGAAGATCATTGGTGTCCCTCTACCCTTCCTCCAGGACATTTACAGCACCCGTCTCACCCGAAAAGCCCTCTGCATAACAGCAGACCTCACTTACCCAATGCATAGCTTCTTCAGTCTGCTGCCATCAGGGTGGAGAATGCGAAGTCTCCAGGCCAGGACCAACAGACTGCAAGACAGCTTCATCCATCAGGCTGTCAGGAAGCTGAACCCTCTCCCAACTCTGCCACCACTCCCCTCTCCCTCCACATGCATTTTTGGACTCTGACACACATGAAAACAAACACACATGCACACATTCATCTGCACTGGTCACTTTATGTAACATTGGTCTACCAGTTAGACACATCATACTACATTCACATATATTATGAAACTGTCACTTTATCATAATCATCATGTGCACGAGCCTTTTTGCACTATATACTGTTCTTTATCTGCACAACTCTGGTTTATACTTTTTTATTGTATGCATATTTTTAGACTACACATTAAATATATTTTTAGACCACATTTTATGTACAACTGTATATATTGTAAATTTAGATTAAACCATCGCAAGCAGGCTTGCACTGATTAAACTAATATCGCTGCTCATGAAAAGACCGGTATTGCTATTAACATGACGTATGCATATAATAAGGTACAGTATATGTCAAAATCAGTGCAGTATCAGACAGCACCCGTGAGAACAGCAAGCGTTAACAGATTCAGTTGTGTCAAGCAGTGCGTGAAGGGCTGGTGAGTGGTCTGAGTATCTTTTGGTCCCTCATTTATGGTATTTTTTTGTGATAATGGGATTTCGTTGAGACATATTTTCCTCATGCATGCATATATTTTTTTGCTTGTTAGTTTGATTCGTGTTGATTTCAAATGCAATAAATTTGTTTGTATAAAACTTGTGGTAACGGTGCTTATAATTGGTGGGTGCGACAAAATTTTGGTTGATGCGCCTACATTTTTTAAATTAGGAGCACTGGTGCTACCAAGCAAAAAGGTTAATTTTGAGCCCTGGTCTACTTTACACATTTTAGAAAAACATTTTGTTGTAATTATGAATAAATACGAATAAAAACAGGTCATTTAAAGCTTCCAAATATGTCTTATCAATATGAACAAAATTACTTTTATGATCAATTATGTAAGAAACTCTGAAAACTGGACTGACAGATTCAATTAACTATAACTTGTATGTTAAGCGGCTTTGACACATTTTACATTGTAAAAGCACTAAATAAACATTAATTGTATTAAATCTGCTTAAATGTGTACACATTAATGGACAGAACAAAATATGACCTGATTAATTTTACATTTAATGTGCATCAAAATTACAGTGTGCATAGCCAATGTTTCCAGTGTCTTTTCACTTTTCAGCTTTTGATGAAGATTGTCATGCAGAGTTTTATAGACTTAAACGAATGTTTTTTTTAAAAATATTTTTCAGACCTAACTGAACAGAATGAGGGGAGTAAAGAGGAGGAACATCCTGTCAAAATTGAGGAAAAAACTTATTTACAGACTGATGGTATTTTGAAAAGGAGAGACAAGAATTGTTTCACCTGCACTCAGTGTGGAAAGAGTTTGGCAAACAAAAACAAACTTAAGATTCACATGAGGATCCACACTGGAGGGAAACCATTCACATGCACTCAGTGTGGGAAGAGTTTCAGCCTATTATCATCCCTTAATCTACACATGAGGATCCACACTGGAGAGAAACCATTTACTTGCACTCAGTGTGGGAAGAGTTTCAGCCTATCATCAAACCTTAATAAACACATGAGGATCCACACTGGAGAGAAACCATTCATATGCCCTCAGTGTGGGAAGAGTTTTAACTTTTCATCAAATTTTCATCGACACATGAGGATCCACACTGGAGAGAAACCATTCACATGCACTCAGTGTGGTAAGAGTTTCAGCCTATCATCAAACCTTAATAAACACATGAGGATCCACACTGGAGAGAAACCATTTATATGCCCTCAGTGTGGGAAGAGTTTCAGCCAATCATCATACCTTAATCTACACATGATAATCCACACTGGAGAGAAACCATTCACATGCACTCAGTGTGGGAAGAGTTTCAGCCTATCATCAAACCTTAATAAACACATGAAGATCCACACTGGAGAGAAACCATTCATATGCCCTCAGTGTGGGAAGAGTTTCAGCCAATCATCATACCTTAATCTACACATGATAATGCACACTGGAGAGAAACCATACACATGCACTCAGTGTGGTAAGAGTTTCAACCGCTCGTCAAACCTTAATAAACACATGAGGATCCACACTGGAGAGAAACCATTCATATGCCCTCAGTGTGGGAAGAGTTTCAGCAAATCATCATACCTTAATCTACACATGAGGATCCACACTATAGAGAAATCAAACAACAGAATTTTGCATGCTTAAACTCTAGTATGACCGCAGCTTCGGTGTGGGATGAGTTTCAGCAACTCCTCAGACCTTATTAAACACATGAGACTCACACTGGACAGAAACCATTCATATGTACTCAGTGTGGGAAGAGTTTCAACCGATCAGCAAACCTTAATGAACACATGAAGATCCACACTGGTGTGAAAGAGTATATGTGTTTGAGTGTGAGAAGACTTTTCTTACAGCTCCAAATTTGAAACTGCACCAGACGATTCACACTGTTACAAGAAGTTTTATTGGTTAACACATCTAAAAACAGAAGAGGATTCACACTGGAGAGAAACCGTACAGATCTGATCAGTGTCCACAGAGTTTCGCTCAATCGCCGCAGCTTGAGAAACACATGGACAAGAAGTTGCACACATGATATGAATTGAGCACAACATTTTTCATATGCACAGGATTTTTCATGTCTGAATAATGTTTAAAAAGGCTGAGGGACGGTATACTCTTTTCCAACACTCCTACACTGGGGTTGTTGGTGGGGTTGTAAATGTGTCGCGTTTCTTCCACTCTCCACACTCTCCAGTGTATTCATGTAGCTAGTGTTGTTTTGGATGATGTTCTCTGTCTGACTCTCTGAATGAGAAACAAATCACTGGGAAGACACCGCACATCAAATAAGGTGAAGCTCCAGGATGGTTAGTTTGCAGAATAGCAGGGCCTCAAGTTTAGAAAGCCCATTCAATTGTCCTGTGTTGCATCTTTTATTAGTAAAGGATCTTTATTTTTAAGTTCTAGTTTACTACGGTAGGGATGGTATACAGTTTAACCCAAAGAATGACCAGTCTGTCAGATGAAGAAGAGCCGGAGTCAAAGATTCAAATAAATAAATGAAGTTTACTGAAGATAGTTTGCAGTTTCATCAGCAGAAGCCAGCTCAACATTTGCAATGAGTTCCTAGGCCGCTCTGACTTACAGTACAACAATGCAGTAATTATACTCTACACAAGTCCCGAAAAGGTGGGATCCAGGTAAACAGTTCTCATTGGTTACAGCAAAAATAGACAATTCTAAATGCTCGTGTCAATGAAGTATTATATCTAGCTCCAGATATGGATGGCCTCAATGCGTGCATTAAGAAAGAATTGGATCTAACTCCAGATATGGATAGCGACATGGTTCCTGGGGGTTAGGTCGACCCTAAGTTATTAAGAGCTGATTTCCGACCTGTGAAAAGCTAAATCAGGGTCACATAAGACACAAGAGACCATCTGTGTTAAAATCTCAAGGATGTTTCTTGTACGGTGAGGCAGTGGGGCAGCAGGTAGTGCTGTCGTCTCACAGCAAGAAGGTCGCTGGTTAGAACCTCGGCTCAGTTGGTGTTTCTGTGTGGAGTTTGCATGTTCTCCCTGCCTTTGCGTGGGTTTCCTCCGGGTGTTCTGGTTTCCCCCACAGTCCAAAGACATGTGGTACAGGTAGGTTAAATAGACTGTAGTGTATGAGTGTGGGTTTGAATGTGAGTGTGGATGTTTCCCACAGATGGGTTGCAGCTGGAAGGGCATCCGCTGCGTAAAAACTTGCTGGATAAGTTGGCGGTTAATTCCGCTGAGGCAAGGGACCAAGCCGACAAGAAAATGAATGAATGTTTCTTGTACGTTCAGCTGTGTTATAAAACTGGTTCCATCAACAGTCTGCTACAATATCCTTACTACACACAGTGTCTATCTCCATACAAAAGGAATTACTTTAATAAGACTTACAATCAAAACAGATTAATCAAACAGGTAAATTATTGTAGACAATATCAGGACAACTAGAACAGGTGTTTTTCTTTTCCTCTGCATCTATACTTTGTTCAGAGGGACAGAGAGAGAGAGAGAGAATTCCATGGCCTATGACCTGGTTTTTGTGAGTCTCCTGAAAACAAAATTAAAATAAGCAAACAGAGAAACAAGGACACTGAACGTTCTTACATTAAGCAGTGTGAACGTATACATTAGATAAATCAAGTCAAAGTTCTATAATTAATAATTAAATTTAATAACAATTAATTAAATAATTATATTTAATAAAAAGTGATGAGAAACAGGATGTTGAGAAAAAGGATTAACGTTGATTTGTTGAGATGAATTTGAAGGTAGAACCCCTGTTTTTGACCGAAGCGAATTAATCCGCTCCAGGTCAACCAGTGAGGTCACTAAAGAAAGTGGAAGTAATGACTCGTGCTCCCTACTTAGGTTACAGAGTTTCTTTGACCTTTCTTGGACATGCTGGAACCTAAAAATTCCAGTCCCCAAGGTAAGGGCTCTTCCACCTTCTTCTCACAATGGGCTTCATCCTTGTATTCATCAAGCTATTCGGTTTTGAAGACGGTTCGTCAGTATCAGTAGACGTTTCTCATCATCAGTAGCATTGACGGTCCTGCAAGCAGAAGTGGAAATATACGAAAAACTAAACAGCGGACCAAAGACCAGAATATGAACACAAATGCGCAAGCCCTAATAGTCATCCAGAAGTAAACAACACATACTTTCATCGATACATCCTCTGATGCATTTACAACTTACTCCAAATCTAAATCCTAACATCCAGGGTAATTCTAAGACTCAAGAGTTCCTCTGATCAGACACAAAAGGTCATCCACTCAACCTAAGCCACACAGGATTCAAATTGAATAGTCCCACATGAAATTATCTATGTTGACGAGGCTGGCTTCAACTTGGTGAAATTGCGCCTTAGGAGAAACATAATAGGCCAAAGGGCCACCATTACCAGGCCGAGCCAGAGAAGAATAAGTCAGGCAAATGCAGAAGACAAGGCAGAATTGAAAATTACTTAGTTTTTTTAATGTAATTGCGGTGCTTTTTCTGTTTGTATATCTTGCAGTAATATTCTTTTGCATATAAAGTCTGTACTGCAGCAATTCTGTGTCTGTATTTTTTTTTTTTTACATTAAACTGTAAATTTTTTTAAAGCTACTCTGGGATGGTCGTTAATTTTTTGTATTGAATTTCTGCAGCATAAGAAACAAAATGCATGAATTTACTGTACTAAACCCATAACACAAACATTTAGAGAGGCTTCAAATATAAGGGCAGAGCTGAATAGCTAAAATAGTGCTGTTTCTGTAATGTCAGCTGATGATCGTGTTTTTATTTTCAATGTGTTCTGATTGACTAAATGTTTCTGTTGCAAGAGAACATTCGAGGTTACTACAGTAACCCTTCGTTCCCCTAGGAGGGATTTGATGTTCTAAATCCACGTATGGGAGGATTCGGTTCAGAAGCTGCTCGTCTGAAAGAGTATTGAACGGGCCAATGAAAGCAATGAATTGGCAGCGCAAGCTTGCGCAGGTGTGCTGCATCGCCAATTAACTGAGCATATAAGCACACCTGGCGCCAGCAAACGCTATCTTTTTTAAGTTGAAGAGACTTTTAACAGGTAAGGGACAGTCATTATGGCGACGGAGTATAATGCTTCCGTTCCCCTTCTCGGGGAACGAAGGGTTACTTTAGTAACCTCGAACGTTCCCCTTCGGGGGGAACTTCAGCAGTATAAGTGGATTTGATGTTCTAAATCCACGTATGGGAGCCCATTGAAAGCGCCATAATGCCATAATTGCACCTTACCAAAACCCACCATGAGAGGGCAGTCAGGCAAGCGTGACGCACCCAATACATGGGAGGCGCTGTCCTCCAACGTGCCCTTGGCCCTAACTTATCCCCACTTCAAAAGAAGCTTTACGGAATAGGTATATTTTTTTGGGAGTCGCTAGCGTCTAGATAATTTCTAGGAATATACGAGAGTATGTTGGGAAGCGTGCCATCCCAGTAGGGAGGATGCTGCGGAGACCATCCGCACCCAATAGGGAGACAAATGGAGTTACATATGGACTAACCCTGAGAAGGGGGAGTGCACATAAGAAGGTGGTTAGCGGATAGGGAAGGCACAGGTCCACCCAGGGGGGGAAACTTAACCGTGGCAGAAAAGCATATGGGGATCACCAGCGGGGATCGGCCATAGCAGGCACCTGTACCCAAAAACGCGGGCTGACCAGCGGGCAGACCTAACGTAGTGTGCCAGCGAGTGACTCCTCCGCTAAGTCAGTGCTGGGGGCCTCGGAGGAATCTGCAGGGCTCACCGAATGGGGAACTTTACTGACAGACAGGAGGGTGCACATCTCTCCGTGTTAGGGAAAAAAGGCACCGCAAGCGTGCTACAACACCCATCGAGTTGTTTCCTCAATCACCAAAGGTCCCTAACACCCTTGAGGTAACCACGCGAAAATGCCTCCAGGTCCCCGACCCTCTTAATGGAGGCCTTCAGGTCTTCAGGTACAGAAATCTTAAGGATACTGAGTCGAGCTGCTCGAAGGGATTAAATCGCAAGCTCGTGAGAACGAGGGCGAGATCCCAAGAGGGCGTGAGAGGGGGGGCGAGTTGGATTAATTCGCCTAACGCCTCTGAGGAACCGGATGATGAGGTTATGCTTTCCCACGGTGCCGCCAGCCACCGCATCATGGTGAGCGGAGATGGCGGTTACGTAAACCTTGAGAGTGGAGGGCGACAGCCTGCTATCCAGCTTCTCTTGAAGGAAAGAGAGCACAACACTGATCTGGCAAGATCGGGGGTCTTCTCTGCGAGAGACACACCATTCAGTGAATAGACTCCACTTCAGGGCGTAGGCGCGCCTCGTGGAGGGGGCTCTAGCCTGAGTGATGGTAACGACCACCGCGGGCGGCAGGTTACCTAAGTCTTCCTCGCGTCTATGGACCACACATGGAGGTTCCAGAGATCGGGGCGAGGGTGCCAGACGGTGCCTTGTCCCTGAGAAAGTAGGTCCTCTCTCAAAGGGATCTGCCATGGGAGGGTCGTCGCGAGGAGGGAGAGCTCTGATATCCAGGTCCGGTTGGGCCAGAGGGGCGCGACTAATAGAACCTGTTCCTCGTCCTCTCTGACCTTGCACAGTAACTGCACGATCAGGCTCACTGGGGGAAACGCATACTTGCGTATGCCCCGAGGCCAGCTGTG